CGTATGCGGGGGCCATGGGGGAGTATTTGAGGAGTACCGGGCGGGGGGAGATGGCGCGGGCGGTGGAGCGGATTGCGGGGGAGTTGAGGGCGGATGAGGGGGCGGAGTATGATGGGGTGATTGAGGTGGATTTGTCGAGGTTGGAGGCGAGGATTAATGGGCCGTTTACGCCGGATTTGTCGACGCCGGTGGGACGGTTGGCGGAGGTGGTGGAGGAGGGGAAGTGGCCGCGGAGGTTGACGGCTGGGTTGATTGGGTCGTGTACGAATTCGTCGTTTGAGGATATGGGACGGGCGGCGAGTGTGGCGCGTCAGGCGTTGGAGGTAGGGTTGAAGCCTAAGATGCCCTTATTGGTGTCGCCGGGGAGTCTGCAGACGCGGGATACGCTGGAGGAGGCGGGGGTGTTGGCGGTGTTTGAGGAGTTGGGGGCCACCATGTTGCCGAATGCGTGTGGGCCGTGTTGTGGATCGTGGGATCGCGTGGACATGCCCAAGGTAAGTGCCCCGTGGAGGTTTTGTTTCGTGTGACTGATTGGGGTGTTGTGTAGGGGACTCCGAATTTCTATCATCACTTCATACAATCGCAACTTCTCTGGTCGTCTGGACTCCAACCCCGCCACGAATTTCTTACTGGCGTCGCCGGAGCTGGTGATGGCCAAGGTTTTTTTCTGATGATCTATCTTTTGATCCCAGCAAGGATACATTGACCACTCCATCGGGGGAGGAGTTCCGATTCCAGCCGCCAACGGGAGACACCCTGCCCAAGAACGGCTATTTGAACTCCGATGCGGCATACAAGGCCCCGCCGGCGGATCGAAGCGCCGTGGAAGTCGAAATCAGCCCTACCTCGGACCGATTGCAGCGACTGGCCCCGTTTGCGCCCTGGTCCGGCAATGACTTCCACGACTGTGTGATTCTCATCAAAACCAAGGGCAAGTGCACAACCGACCATATTACTCCGGGCAGGTCCGTGGTTCCGATACCGCGGCCATCTGGAGAACATCTCCAACAACACATTGATCGGGGCGGTGAATGCGGAGAACGGGCTTGTGAACACCGTACGGAACCAACTGACTCAGGAAGATGGCGATGTTCCCGGTACCGCACGCGACTACAAGGCGAAAGGCCAGCCGTGGGTGGTGATCGCAGACCACAACTACGGCGAGGGATCATCCCGGGAACATGCGGCCCTGCAGCCGAGATACCTTGGAGGCGTGGCTATTATTGCCAAGTCGTTTGCGCGGATTCATGAAGCCAATTTGAAGAAGCAGGGCATGCTGGCGTTGACGTTTGTGGATGAGGCGGACTACGATCGGATGCGGGCGGAGGATCGGGTGAGTATTGTCGGATTGGAGGGGCTGGAACCTGGGAACAGGGTGAAGCTGGTGGTGAATGGGGAGTGGGAGGCACAGTTGAATCATACCTTTACGGGGGAGCAGATTGAGTATTTCAAGGCGGGGAGTGCGTTGAATTTGATGGGGGAAGCGGTGATGGCAGGTTGCAACGGGATAAGCGTATATAGATGTTTTAACTGTAAACAATGTTCGGAAGCTTAGCGGTACACTAGGATCGAAACAGTACGGCGAGATCAAATGATGAGATTTAGAGAATTAGTACATCTCACGTTTTTCAAGTCAGCATTGAAAGTAACAACAACTAGGGTTCTGGTCATGCAAGCTGACATATAAACTAGCACAAGCATAAGCACATACGGCATGGTGTGTGGGAAGGACTTATCATTGAATTCTTTATGTCAAGCCCTATATCTTTAGTTTTTCTACTGCATCCAGTACATACGACCACAGGGTGTGGAAAACAGGGCTTCCCGTCCGCTCAGCCGTACTTAACCCACACGCCGGGAGGTTAGTAGTTGGGTGGGTGACCACCAGCGAATCCCTTCTGTTGTATGTTTTTATCCCTTTTACATCCTATCTTTTTACATATATGCTGCTAAAATCTGCGAGATAAGATTTTATATCTGTTATACATCAGTTATCGAATGTGGAAGTCCCCCGACGATTGGCTGCTCACGGGAAATGGAGAGATGAGACCGTTGTCAGCTGGCAGCTCCAATCAAGGAATTGACCTGCGGGCGAACTTTTGGGTGGAATGGAAGGAGCAGTGGAAACGACAGGTTGGGGGACGGGTGAAGTGTCCCGAGTGACTTGAAGAGGATGATTATATCACGTAGATGCATCATTGATCAGGCTGGTACCAGATATCTCCCCCCTCCAGGCTCTCAACTGACCCCACCGGCAGCTACAAGGGCTCATACAAGGGCTTTGGGACTCGGGCAGTCTCTTTTTCATCAATACGAGGCATTTTCATTGGGCTGGAGAGAACTTCTTATACCTACCATTTTCCTCTTCGGTATGTTGTGGTAGGGCTGTTTATATCAAGTCGGACCGGAAACATAGATGTTCTTCTCTTTACGCACAACTACCAAGAACCCTAAATCTTGAGAGACCTAGGACCCGAAGACGAACGCGCCTCAGCAGCCTCCCTCTCCCACCACTGCACTCGATACCGCACAAACGCCCAGAAAATATCCCCCCACTCCGGTTTATACGGAGGTAAAACCCTCCCCGTGGTACCTGGTGCCGGCTCGCCCGCGAGTGCACGGAGCGCTTCAAAGTGCTTTTCAAAATCCGGAATGAGTGTCCAGAACGCAGCTTGGTCACCGGATTGCGCTATTCGGTCGCGTTCCCATTTCTCCATTTCCGCCTGTGGAGGAACCGCTGCGTGGCCGGCGAAGATCCGAGCGGTGGCGACGGCTTGCCATTCGAAGATGCGGATGCCGAAGCCGCCTGTTACCTTTATGGGATTGGTATGGGATATATCGGTACATGGAGAGTTGGTGGTTGGGATGGGGGCGTTATGACCTACCATGCCGATAAATGCCAGGGTTGGATCATCGATTTTGAGAAGATGCTGATCCAACCCGGGAATCCTTTTATGGACTGACTTCAAATTCGGGAGAAAGGGGAAACTAAAGTCATAACCGGTTGCGAACAGAATGTGATCTCCCTGCTCGACAGATGTTCCATCTGTGAAGTGTACCTGGCCTGTTTTGGCATCCAAGGAGGCGATTTGGCTTCGATTATCAATGTCGGGATGGGCAAAGGGCGCAGTGCCGAAGATCCGAGATGTGTTACATGCGAGGATAGGTCGCCTGCCTCTGGTGTGGTGATGTTGGGCTGGATGGAAGGTCTAGCAGCCAGCCAATCCTTCATGACCTCTTCGATGCGGGCGATGCGGTCCCCGAGCTGTCGGTTGCCCCTTCGGGCTGCCGACAGATCCTCTGGCATCTCCTGACTGACACAGTCCGCCCGTCTATGCTGGCCGCCGATGCAAATAGCATCGTCCGGGGCGGCAAAGCGACATCGGATCTTCCGTCGTTTGCATTCCCAGCAGGACCGTGAACCTTTACGCACACGTCTGCGCTTGGTTGCTGCTCCTTCTAAGTTAAGGCTCGCCATCGTTGGCTGTGTCCAGTAGTCGTGTTTTAGGCAGCGAGCACCTCGCTCGAGGAGAGAGAGAGAGAGAGAAAGACAGGAGATGCGCAGTGGCTGATGGTCGCTGATGGATTAATGACGGACCAACAATGCGATTACAGTGTGACAGAACAGCCCGTAATTTTGCAAGAACAACCGGGGTATGTATGATACTTAGCCCGCGACGGCGGAATAACCAAGCCCTATATGAAGCCGTTCTTCTACAGAAAGAGGATGGGAGCCTCTCCCACCAAGCTAGACGTTGCTTAACGGTATCCACGATGACTTCGCAATCTACCACCCAAGACACTGCACCAGATGAAAAAGTTCCAACCCCTCCCACAGCACCTCTTCGCAGCCCCCCGCCCCCCGATGGCGGCCTCATAGCATGGCTCCAAGTAGCCGCCGGCTTCGTCCTCTTCTTCAACACCTGGGGCATGATCAACACATTCGCCATGTTTCAAACCTACTACGAGAGCGGCGCCCTCTTCCAGGCCTCCTCCTCCAACAAGCACCCTCATCCTCTTCCTCGCCAACGCCATCCTCATCTTCTACATCTCCTTCTACCCATCCAACCGCCACTTCACCTCCCCCTCCCTATCCTTCTACATGGTCGCGATCTTCAACACCGGCTCCTTCTTCGGCCGCATCGCTCCTAATGCTCTATCCGATCGCATCGGCGTCTTTAACACCATCATCCCAACTTACCCTCCTCCTCGGCATTACTATACTCTGCATGCTGGGCGTCCACCACACCGCAGGCATGATCATCGAAGTCCTCGTCACCGGCTTCTTCAGTGGCGTGGTGGTTGCGATGCCCCCCCGTCTGCTTTCGACTCCTGACTCGGGATCCGGCGATGATTGGGACGCGGATCGGGCAGAGGTTTGCGGTCGCGGGGTTGGGATTGTTAATCGGTGGGCCTAGTGCGGGGGGGTGTTTTGGGGGGTGGGGATGGGGGGAAGTTGAATTGGGTCGGGTTGTGGGTGTTCGGGGGCGTGGCGGGGTGTGTGGCTGCTGGGGGGATGGGCTTTGGGGATTAAGGTATAAGGGGGTGGGGGTCTGTATCTATCATGTCTCGTGATATTGAGTAAGTCTGTCTCTGGTCTTTCTGTCTGGTTGTTTCTTTGGATTTTAATTTGCCTTGTCATCTACGGCAAGGTTCCTACAGGACATTAGAAAAGGAAAGAGATGACCAAGATGCTCAACGTCTCACAACACATCCGGTGCAGGCACTTTCCCGAGCGCTTTCATCATCCCCCGTAACATCGGATTCCCACCGAGTTTCCCTTCCAACACACCAATCTCCGCACCAATCTCTCTATGCAAATCCCGGACCAGCTTCCACGTATGATCCAGAGCCCCCGTGCTATCAATCAACCGCAGGATCTGGAGCTTGGTGGCACGCGCCAACTTGTCCGAAGAACCCTGCTGGGCCTGAAATGCACCGAGGATGATATCCTGTGCGGAGGAACTGGTATTGCAGGCCCGGATCACAGGATAGGAGAACTTCCCCTCATCCAGATCTTCACAGAACCCTTTCAGGTTGGAGTAATCGGTACTTTGCAGATTCATGTAGTCGTCTCGGACTTGGTACCATCGGCCCATAAGTCGGCAGAAGTGGGTGATATCGAAGGAAGTGGAGACGGGAGAGGACACTTGCATTAAGCGCAGGAGCATTAGGAAGAGTGCCCCGGTTTTCTTGTCGACCATCTCGAAGTATGCTTCCTCCGAGGGACACCTTTTGTGGAATTTCCAGTGCAGATCCCAGCTCTGACCGATGAAGAGCTTTTCGAGTTCCTCGAGGTAGATGGGGATCAGGGCATTGTTTTCAGTCTGAAGAAGTCGTGAGACGCGGGTGATCATGTACGTGGCGCTGTTGATGGACTGCGGGGCGCCGTATATGAGGTGGGTGGCTGCGTGGCCGCGTCGCAGTTCGGATTCGTCTTGGATGTCGTCGAGGATGAGCGAGGCATTGTGGAGATCCTCCACGACTTGACTTAATAGGGAGAGTTGCTCGTCGGGGATGCGAAGCCAGACGTTGAATGCTTCCATTAATTTGGTCAGAGTTTTCTTGGAGGAAAGCGACTGGATGTAGTTGACTGGGCCTAGAAGGGCGGAATCATCTAGTAAATTGCCATGGCGAGAGGGTTTGGGGGAGTTGGGAACTTCCGTGTCCGGATAAGGCTTGGCTGGTAGGTATGGGAGCACCGTTTCGCCCTGCACAGCGGGTTCTGCGTCTGTCGACGGCGGAGTCTCAACCACAGCCGATTGCTTGTCGGACACATCACCCTGCTCATCTCGCTGGTTGAGCCGAGGACAGTTGGCGCACCAGTAGTGATACCCTGCAATAGCTGCACCGCACACTTCGGCCCACCGACGCAGATGAAAGGGAAGAAGCCCTCGGGTGTATAGCTGCTCTCTGGAAGCGATGAAGCGTTTCTCATAGTTAATAATTGTTTCCCTCATCTTATCCATCGCCTGGTCCTCCGTCATCTTCTCCATCCGCATGTAGAAAGGAATGAAGTTGGTGGCCCAATCATTGCCTGATTGCTTCTCCCTTTGCCAGCCATAAAGGTCACTGATGTGCAACATGGCCATCTCGAATAGATACAAGAGATCATTCATTGTTGCCCAATCCAGTGCACTAAGCTTGAATTCCTGGCTAAATGCCAGTAGGAAATAGTATAAGCTGCCAGTCATCAGCAACATTGTTGAGTTTTCGAGTTAATCGTAGGAGCACTCACTTGAAGCCAGCCTTCGCCCGCCGCATCATAAAGAGGCTGCTAAAACTGTCAACATTGCTCAGATCTTCTGACTCTGCATCTTGTCGCCAGCTGCGCTTGTACATCTCAAGAATGTCAGTTCCTGCACTGTGGTCGATTTGGGCAGCCCGCAAGAAGTAAATCGAGAGTCTTTGTACGATCTTGGTGGCCTCGCTAGCCCTGGGGCTTTTCTGGTTCGCAACTGCTGCATCTTTGTCTTTGCAGTCGCCACCGTCATTGAGTATATCTCGAATACTATCAGCCTAGGCCTATTCATATCTGAGAACACTATGAGATCCGCAAATACCTTTCTGAATAAGCAACAACTCATTGATATGCGCCATCGCTTCCACTCTCCCCGGAGCGCACTCAGGAAAAAGAAAACTGCACAGATTACCAACAGGACTCGACGTCTCACTCGTCGCGGTATCCACTCCATCTCCGATAAACCAGTGCCAGACGCGATTGCCATGTTTGGCTGTACTATCCGCAACATCGTCGTAGAGGCTGATTCGGACCGGCAGGGTGGTGAAACAGCCCGATTTCTCAACCTCAGCCTTGTCGACCAGACGGGAATGCTGCCAGATCTGGGGTTCGTCGGGCATCCTGCTTACTGAACCTATGAATATTTTGCTGGCAGAATTGTGGAGATGAAGTGATGATGAGAGCAGAGACTGGCTCTCTGGTCGATATGGGGAGGAATGTGTTGATGACATGTGGTGAATTCGACGCAGAATCGCGCAAGGCAACAGGTGATGACTAAGCTGGATTCCTGCCAGGACTGTCACGGAATTTCTCCCGATCAGTGGTCTTCCTTGGTCGTGTTTTGACAATCAGGAGGATACTGGCTATGCAATTCAGTAAAGTCTCTGCTGATGGGATGATATCCGTCACCTATCCCTGAGAAAAGGCAACCCCCGAGCTGAAGCCAGCATACCGGGAAACATCCCTCGAACTAGATGCGGGGTCGCTCCGCCATCACCGCTTGGTGTCTATTCAGGACCTCCCAAACCCCACATGAACATTTCATTGGATAGTAAAAGCTGTATTCAAGGCATCTAACTCACAGTCTATATACATCAGACACCCTTAATGACCATTCTCCCGCTCCTTCAACTCCTTCCGCACTCTCGGCAAAATATACCGCCCATAATCAATCGCATCATTCAGGTTATCATACCCACGGATGGAGATCAACTCCGCCCCCAGATCCACATAATCCAGAATCGAATCACTGATCGTCTGCGGCGATCCCACCAACGCCGTTGACGCGCCCCGCGCATTCGTCGCCGTCACAGTCGGATACCACAGCGCGCGATCCTGCACCTCTCCCCTCGCCGCAATATCCAACAATCGCTGAGACCCCACATTCTGCGGCGGCGGAGCATTCGGGGGAGCCTTACCCTGTCCGTTCGCACGATACTCCTTCAACTTATCCAGCGTCTGATGCGCCTTGGCCCAGGCAAGATCATCTGTCTCAGCAATAATCGGCCGGAAAGTCACCCAGATGCGCGGCCGGTCGTTGGGCGCACGACCTGCGCGCTCCGCCTCGGCATAAATCCGATCGATCTGCTCCTTGGTTTCCTTGAGGGGTTCGCCCCAGAGACCGAAGATGTCGGCGAGTGAGCCGCCCACGCGATACGCTTCGTCGGAGGATCCGCCGACGGAGACGGGGATGGTTCCGTTGACGGGACGGACCCGGTTACTGAACTGCTTGAAGGTGTAATACTCGCTTTCCCAGTCGAAGGGCTCGTCGGATTCCCATGCCCGACGGAGGATTTTAATGTAGTCCTCCAGCCGGCCGTATCGTTGTTGTTTGTTCAGGAAGTCGCCTTCCTTGGCTTGTTCGGCGTCGCTGCCGCCGGCGATGAAGTGGACCACGACACGGCCTCGACTGAGTTGGTCAAGGGTGGCCAGGGCTTTGGCGGCGACGGTGGGGTAGAGGGTGTTGGGGCGGAGGGCGATGATGACCTTGAGGTTCTTGGTCACGGAGGCGATGGTAGCGCCGATGGTGAAAGGGTCGAAGTAGGAGGAGTCGTAGGGTACGAGGGTGTAGTTGTAGCCATAGTCGTCGAGGGCGCGTGCGTAACGCACGAGGTAGTCGGGGTCAATGCCCGCGTTGGGGATGGGCGCGACCTCCGTGGAGGCGTTGGGGAAGGTGAGACTGATGAATTCGGTCGGCATGGTGAAGTGTAGTTATTATGAGGGGCTGGCTGGTTGCAGGAATAAGATGGGCGTGTCATTTATACATCTGGGATGTACTTGGTGTACCCCGCATGAGATGTGGTGGATGACGCGAGACACTAGGCGATCACGCCTTACTTGGCCGATAACGGGTTTGTGTTTCACACATCCGAGTGGACAAGTAAGGTACTTGAAGTCGTCATATCCGTCTGACATTATGCAACTCATGATAGACAGGTTGGCAGCTCTGCGGGTGGCCGATGCATCCGGCTGCTGCCACTGCATGCGCACGCCAGGTCCGCCATCACGCAACCACCATAGCCGAGCGGAAGATTGACCAATGCTATTTTACTTGCTTGACCAATTCTATGCAACTATCTTATCGGATCATCGGTATCCGGTTGTCTCATGTTTCTGACTAATTGCTGCCAACCATCCCCTCATCCACTCAAGACATTGCTGATAAATACAATCTCTGGCTGAGCAAAGGCTGGTCCGGTGCAGGTTCTGTAGAGCGCTACTTGTTCCAGCATCAAGATATGGTCAAGGTGACATTCAAAATTATGTTGACATACTCGTTGTCAAACGACTACACTATGTTGGAGATGAGCATGCCACGAACGTCGCTTCAATTCTTCACCATCGGGTTTTGACTTTTCTTCGTGTTTCCATCTCGTTTCCTCAGCTTTCGATAGCTGATAGCACTATATGGCCGTCGAAATGAAGGCTGCGTCTCCCAAACATCATGGCTAGGGCTTCCCGGGGACAAACCATTAGTCCCACTTTGAACCCATACGGTGATACCATATCCATAGAATTTATCGCACCTTTACATGCCAAACTTTTCTAAACTTCTGGGGACCATGCTAGTAAATGATGCAATGCACTCTATCAGCAAATACATCTTTCATCATCGCAATCCATGCCATTTATCCCCTCTATCTTCAACGCCAAATACCTCGTTCAATTTGCACAAGGGGGAAAGCGACAGTAACTATATACCGGCCGCCAGATGAACCCAAAAGCTAACCCGTACCAATTCCCATCAGTGATGCCCCTACACTTAACCCCGTCGCAACCCCACCCCTTTCATAATCTCCAACCCTCGACAACATCTCCAGAAACCGATTCATAATCTCTAGTAGCACACCTGACCTTGTACTAAGCATAACCACTCACCAAAAGTGCCTCCCAAAAGTTACAATCGCCCCATTATCCAGACAGATGCAACCCGGGGAGAAAGATCGTATTGTATGGTGTTGAGACATGCTATTTCTACCTTCTACGGCCGGGGCTAAGAAGGGATACATTCCTTTAGGCCTACGTGGTTCTTGACATATGATGCAGGGGCGGATGGCGAGATTGAAAGGCTTGAGAAAGTCCCGAAGTTCTAGGGGATTGGGCTTTTATGGGTTTGAATGTGAGGAAGGATCACGATGAATAGGGATACTAAGTCATTCCCTCGCTGTATACCGACTCCAAAGTCATCTATCATGACGTCAAAAGGGCTTTGGATAAGCAGTGGGAATGTGGCCATAATGGCGTGAAAGGCGGCTAGTGCGAGGCTGATGTTCTGAATCTGCCAATACAGCAGGAATTTGGAGAGAGCAAATTCGGTACCTCCCATCTTCCTCCCATCTGGCCAGTTGTCTGGAGTAGCCTCAATCGGGCTGGGAGCTGGCTTCTGTTGGAATAGAAACTTGCAATGTTCAGGAGTCAGCACTGCAGGCTCGACAGGAGGCATTCTTCAATCAACCATCTTCTGTAAGGAGGGCGGCTTGTCGGACCTGCATGGCATGTCGCCAGGGTTCTTAAAATTGGTCTGCAATATGACCAACTGCAGCGAATGCCTTCACGAGCTCCATATAGTTCAAATCATACCAATCATCCTCCAGCCTGATAACAATTGATAACCGCCCGATAAGCTTTCACATCCACTACGGCTCGGAGCCGCCATCCAACCACGCGTTAGCCTTCGGTGCCGGTCCACCCGGTCGCCAGCCCAACCTCCACCCACCGCAACCAAGCCTTCCCAAGCCTTTTCCATCCAAACAACCCCTCATCCTCCATCTCCAACCCTCCAGCTCCAAAGATACCCACTCACAACCACACCCAACATGCGATCCTCCAACGACCCCCTCCTCACAACCGAGGCCCAGCCCCTCCCCCCAGGCCAAATCTACCTCTCTGACGAAGACTCCCCCCGCTCGTCCCTCGTCGCGCGCTACCGACGCTCAGCCCGCGACTTCCTCTCATCCCGATTCGGCCACTACCTCATCCTGTTCCTCGTCTCGGTGGACGTCGCCTGCGTATTTGCCGATTTCCTCATCGAGTTGCATGTCTGTGAGCTGGAGAAGCGGTACTCGCATGTTCCTGCGATTTGGGGTGAGGCGCAGGAGGGTCTGGAGATTGTGGGGCTGGTGTTTTCGTGTCTGTTTATGGTGGAGTTGATGGTTGCGGTGGCGAGTTTTGGGATGAGGTGGGCTTCTTCCTTTTTTTCCTTTGGTGGAGTGGCTGTTGTGTTGTGTTGTGCTGTGCTGTGTTGGAGGCAGTAATGACATGACGTATATGACTAATGCTAACGAAAAACATAGTTACTTCTCCTCCAAATTCCACATCTTCGATTCGCTCGTCATCGTGGTGGCATTCGCGATTGATGTGGCGCTGCGAGGCTTGGTCGAGGAACTGGGTTCCCTGGTCGTGGTGTTGCGGTTGTGGCGCGTGTTTAAGATCATTGAGGAGTTGGAGTCGGCGAGTGCGGATTCCATGGAGGAGTATGAGCGCGAGATTGATCGGTTGCGGGAGGAGAATGAGTACCTGCGGGAGAGGTTGGAGTTGGGGGATGAGGATGCTGATTAGTTTGATTTACTTTGTGGATCGGCAGGTCACGTCGGGCGAGAGTATGGGGGAGTGGGATGTGTGGTGAGTTCTGATGTAGTTGTGGAGAAATGAGGGATGGTTGAGTATTGTGGCAGAGTAAATAAGAGTAGAGTATATAGGGCTGGTGAAAGTTTAGATATACCATTGTGGCGAACAATTTTCTCTGTCTGCGGGCATCCATTTTCTCTAGTCTGCTAGTTTATATCTAAAACTATTACTTCCCCGCTCTATTATAATAAGCCATAATACAGAGCTTTCGATGTAGATCTCATTGGTTGGCAACTTTATCCCTCCCCACCTTTGCCCGTATTCGTCCCCACATTGACCCTGCAGGAGCAGCCATTGATGGCCTCTCAGCCTTGGCTCCGTACTATGTATGTTGTTTGCAGGGTCAGGTTCAGAGGGTCGGATTTAATATCCGTAGACCTCAGATATATCAGTCACTCACCATGTTTATGATTTCTGTGGCCCTTCTCTCGGTTATATTATCATACAATTCCAAGTTTCTATAAATGACAACCCAGCTCAGTCGTCAAGTCAGCCTCGGAGACTGCAAGCCTTTGAAGGCTACAAATCAGCCCATACAAATACCACTATCCACTAAACTAAGCCGTCCCAAAAACCTCATCAATAAACTCCAATCCCCGCGCATACGCCTCCACGGACCCCTTCGCCGGCTTAGGCGGAAACCCAGCACTAAAATCCACCAACCCATGCCCCCCATCCTCCACCAACAACAACTCCGACTTGACCCCCAGCTCCTTCAACCGCTCATAATGCGTAATACTCTCCTGATCCGGCACCACCTCATCCGCGGTACCATGCACAAACACCGACGGCGGATACGTTTCATCCACGAACAACTGCAAAAACGCAGGCTTCAATTCCTCTGGAATCTTCGCCGCCCGTTCCTCATACCGTACTTGATTTAACTCCGCGCCCAACCCAGGCCTACCCAAACACCCATCCAGAAACGTCCCATCCAACTCCCACCGCACCGTCAACGCAAACCGATTCGACATCACCCCGCCATCCTCGGGCATATCATCGCTCACGACCGTCTTATCAGCCAGTAACTGCGGCACGGCATCCAAATCCACCAGGTTCGCGATGGAAGTCGGTGGCCGCGCCGTCGTCCAGTGATCGAGAAGCCAATCGCCACAGCTGCCGTACCCGGTCAACAAGGCAGCGGGTTTAGGGTCGGCGTAGACGCAGGCGGCGCGGGCAGAGAATCCACCTGCCGAGAAGCCCGTCACAGCGATGCGGGTGGTGTCGAGGGTGATGGAGTCTGGGAGGGCGGATTGGAAGGGTCCGGCTAGGAAGGTGAAGATGGCTTTGGCGTCTTCGATTTGGTCCAGGGCCGTGGTGGGGTGGCAGAGGCGGTAGTCGGCGGAGATGAAGATGTAGGATTTTTGTTGGCAGTGGTCTGGAAGCGTTATTAGTGAGTGTTTCTGGTGAGGGGGAGGGAGAAGGAGGAGGGGGGGGGGGGGGGTACTGTAGAGCCAGTGTGGGAAACCTCGGCCGCGTCGCGAGCCGGCGGTCATTCCGCCTCCGTGGTAGTAGATGATGGCGGGGAGGTTTCCGCTCGTGACGGGCGGGAGGTAGTAGTCTAGTTTGACATCGTGGTTGTCGATGGTGAAGTAGACGAGAGTCTTGCCTCCTTCAGGGAGATGGGACTGCATGGTTGCTGTAGTGCGGGGGTAGATGGCTGCGGTGAGTGTGGTTAGCTTGGCTGGCATGAGAGTAGGGAGCAATAGAGCGTTCGTTACCGGTAGAGTGGTGATTGGGTGGTTGAGAAAGGTGACAATCGTCTCGTCCTTGTGGAATTCAGTGGGATTAAACGGTAGGCAGCAGCGAAGTCAGGTTGGCCAAGATGTTGATCCGGGTGAAGATATAACCGATGACCCCGCCCGCCCCGCCATGCCGAGACTCTCGGCATTACCTCGGCCCTGGCCGATGCTTGATGGGGATCTTTTATCTTTGTTTAAAGGGATATTATAGGCCGCATACATCTCGGATCGAATATACGCTTGTCAACCTTATTTCGGGTGCATATATTCTGTTTCGCTAGCTAAGGAATGACAATCTGCAACTAAAAGCAACAACAAATGAGACAGGGTTCGTTGGCATTTTCCGACATCGGTCATGGCCAGAGTAGAACCATAAGCACAATGAGCCCTCTTCCTTCGCATATAGAAGAAAAGTTAGACAAACGCGAAACAGAATCTGTTGAATAATACGGGGACTGCACGCCAGTCTAATGGCAGTAGCCCATCGCCATATGATCCGCCTGGAGACAATTGTTGCATCCGTTCTGGCGACACTCACGCTGCGAAGTGCATCCGACATTTCCGCAGGTGTTCCGACCCGGTACATTGGTGCTCGTTGGCTGCTGCTGAGACACGGTGGTGGTGGTGGTCATAGGCGGCAGCAAGTTGCGGTCGGGGTTGAGAAGCTGGTCGAGATTGGTCACGTCACGACCGTCAACGCCCTGGAAGTCCCGGGACAGACGATCCTGCTCTGCCGCAGGGAACTTGCTGTTGTATTCGCGGATTTGGTCCGGGCTCAACTGTTGGTAGGCCACGACCCTGCCGCTGGCGTCGACGGATCGAAGCACGCCGTCATTTCCGAGGTAGAGGACTCCATTGTTGTCCTGCGGAAGGCTGGAGATAATCTCGGAGATGTTCTGGGTGTTCTATATGCGGATTAGAAATTGTGTGTTGCTTCTTGGGAAGTGGCCTTACGTTGGGCGTGGTGGGTGTGGCAGGTGCCAAAGCGAACAGGATGCTCAGAACGATGAGGATTTCGGACTTCATGGTGACCGGAGTGTTGTGGCTTATGTAGAGATGATTGCAATGCGACCCCTTGTCTGAATTGATGATGATAGTGAATATGGTCGTAAGTAGGAGAGGAGTCTGCATTTATGTTGATGAGAATGCTGCCAATGTAGGTGTGCCTTAAATAGATCTGCATTGTATCTCAGGCTGACTCCGACGGAAAGCTCAGTGCGAGTTCAAGCAACACAAGGAATGCCGGTATGGGTGATATATTGTAAAACTCTCAATCGCAATGCTGACTCTTGGACGGTTGGATAATCGGGCAGTTGAACTGCTGTACGAGGCTAAGAATAGATTCGTGGGAGAAGTGAAGCTTAGCATGTACACCAGTAGGTTGGAGACTGCTAGTTTAAGCTATAACCGAAAGAGATTGTTATGAACCTATACCATGGTGCTTTAAGGCCGGACAACTGTTTTAGATTCGACCAACGGTCGACGTGCATTGTTGTTTCTCAAAGACGACTGATATCGAACCATGATAGGCTGTCTCCTGGAAGCCTTTTGCTTAGAGTTGGTGTCAGAACCTTGATCAAGCTCTCGGTTTGGTCATGTACGACCATACACGTCTTCATTTTTCCGTCACACGCCTACAACATATCCTCTTCTATGATGCTGCAATCAAAGCAGGGTCCGGATATACATAGATTGGTGATTAGGCCTGATGCCTAGCCAAGAGCGTGCAGGCCACATAGATTCAGAGTGACAAACAAATATACCATGATCTGACACGGCCTTCTTCTCAGATTCCACCAAGCTCATAATCCCTCGCGAACACTGTAGTAGCCTTACTCAGTATGTTCTCGTGGTGTTCCTTGAATGAGAGTACGATCGGACATGGTTGACGCAACAGCATCACTTTATGTAGCTTGCGGTTTCATTACCTGGGATGCTGTGCGAGTGCTCGGCGAAACCCACAGGTCTTTTGGTGGTGCGCTGGGTTTATTTATTAGCATTGCCACACTATGTGGTGTCATGATGTCCAACAGAGACAATGAGTGAATTGTGTCATGGTGGAATATTCCACCATACGTAGAGATCCAAGGGCCAGCTGTCGGTTACTGTAGGCTGCCAGCATGATCTACCTCTGCTAGGGTCTCGCTCGGTCTTGTCGGGGGAAATCAAGTAGAATTGAGGGAGGTCAAGTTTGCTGTCCCTCAGTCTAGGTAAATAATATCGTTCACTGTCGTCGTATGAATACTTGGTCTCAATATCAGGGCGGGAGGAGGAACAGTCAGGATAAAAAATAGTGTTGATTTCTAGGTCTTAAATAGATAGTGTCGCGATCGGCGGGCCGCCACCACCAAACCAAAATAAAAAGACAAAAAATGGAGCTGCGGGGAATCGAACCCCGGACCTCTCCCATGCTAAGGGAATATTATACCACTAAACCACAGCCCCATTTGATGA